TGAATAATTAATGAATTATGATTTATAATTTATTTTATATTGATTTTAATATTTTCTCTTCTTTTTTTTTTTTTTTTCATAGCAACAAGCAAATCCCGAGGGTCGTCCATTGACATTTCCTAAGGTCTAGCACAAAGGAAAAGGAATAGACCAACTGCCTGTATATTGTAATAATGAGGCTCAAGAAATTGGAGTAAGTATTTAACTTAACAATTTACTTTAAATTGTGTCATGAATTAATTGAAATTATTTTGGTTATAATATTAAAACTATTATACAATATAGTTATTGGTAAAAAGTTAGAACTCCATCATTTTACTGGAGAGTAAATTGAATTGAGGTGCCTAAAGTGATATTTTAAATTACACTTTAATTTTCAATACAATTAATTATTTATTTTGTCTTATATTATTTCATGAAAAATTGACAGCTGAATATGCTGCTAGGCAAAAGGAAGAAGGATTTGGCTCTACAATAGCTCATGGTGAGTTATTACTTAGGGCGACTGGTGGGGTCAAGAAATGATAGCTGAAAGGTTTGGATATTCACACACATCCATAGGATATAGGTGTGAGCACATCTAGATGGGAACCATTCAGGCCACCCATCATAGGACAGTCTAACGGGTTATCGAATTAGAGTAGATTGTTGAATCATTGAAGGCAGATAATGAGAGCCTTCGGCACAACAGTTGACCCTTATTGCACAGATGCAACAGCTCTACCAGCATATAGGGATGACCCCAACGGATACCAGTGGGATAGTCACCCCTAGGACAGCCCGAGATATTTAAGTTTTTTATATTTTAATTAAATATTTGTATTTACTTTATATTTGTAGTAGACATTGGAGACTTATATATTTATAGTAAATTAACAAAATTTTCTAACATTTTACATGATAAATATCATAAATTATGTGAAAATAATTTTACATTATCAAATATGTTAATTTAAATATCAATTAAATCCTTTATATGTAAGAAATATCGAACTAAATGAAATACTTATACCTAGATTGGTTTCAATTAGTATAACAACAGTAATAAACACACAAATGGCCGATTGTCTGCTGGCCCAAACTAGTATATACGGACCGATGTCGGTCCATATATATCAAGGCCAGTAAAGCCGGCTACAAATTTCCCATAGCGGGTTCAATATAAAAAAAAAAAAAAAACAAAATGTTCGAAGCAGTCTAGCACCAGTCAGCTTTCATTCTTCAGCCGGCTCACCTAACCCAAACTAGTATATACGGACCGGTATCGGTCTATATATAACTTGTGAAAATCAAGGCCAGTTAAGTCGGCTACAAAATTTTTACAGTCGGCTCAGTCTAAAAAAACAGAATGTTCGAGGCAGTGTAGCACTAGTTGGCCTTCATTTCCCAGTTGGCTTAACCCAAACTAATATATACAGATCGAAACCGGTCTGTATATATCCCTGTTAACACATATAGATAATTAGTAGTCCATATACACATGGAGACCCAACACAAAGCCTCAATGGTATATACGGACTGTTATTGATCCGTATATGTCTTCATTAATATATATACAGACCGGTAATAGTCCGTATATACTAGGATAATCAATGTGTTGCCCACATATATACGGACCGATACCGGTCCATATATACTATGAGGTTGATAGTAAGACCATATATACGAACTGGTTTCGGTCCATATATACATGTAGGGTTTGTTTTTTAGCGTTTTTCCTTACCTATATATAGACCGATACTGGTCTGTATTTATATATATACAAACAAGTTTTGGTCCAAATATACCTAACAGTAGGTTTTTTATTCGATTCCTTATCTTGTGCTCAAGTTGTTTTACTCTCATTTTAAACCATAACATTTCGAATGTTTGTTTGCCAAAGTGGTTAACTTTAACCAAAAAAATCGATTTTAGTTGCTTGTGCCTCCGAAAGAACATTACGTAACCTTATATCTAATAACTTTATACTTGTACATTCAAGGTTTTACAATGATATTATCTTGTACCATTGTTAGATAATTTTAGGTAGACAATCGATGGTTCTGGGGTTCTAAGGTTCTAGGGTTCCAGGGGATTGTAGTGTCGATGTACACGTAATTGGTTTTCATAAGAACAAATTTAGGACACAGGAAGATGGTGATGTCCTTAAATGAAAAGAATAAAAAGGTGCACAGGGAGGGGTTTTTGGTTTTTTTGCAATATATTTAGACAAAAAACGGTCTGAAAAATCAAAAGCGTAGAAGCTTCTAGATTCTGCGCCTATATTCTGACCAAAACCGATCCGTATACATCTTTATACTAAATTTAATTTATCTTTATAATTAAAAAAACCATGACAGACATATATACAAACCGAAAACAGTCCGTATATGATTATACAGACTAGTTTTGGTCCCAATATATACCCTCCTACAACTTTTTCATTGTTTTTATTATCTCATGCTCAATTCGTTATACTTTCGTTTTCAACCATAACATTCCGAATGTTTGCGTGCCAAAGTGGTTAACCTTACCCAAAAAAATCAATTTTACTTGCTTGTGGTTTCGAAATAAAATTACCTAACCTTATACTTATACATTCATGATTTTGCAACGATACTATCCCGTGCCATCGTTAGATAATTTCAAGCAGGTAATCGATGGTTCCGGGGTTCCAGGAGACTGTAGTGTCAATGTACACGTAATTGGTTTTCATAAGAACGGATTTGGGGCACGGGAAGATGGTGATGTCCTTAAATGAAAAGCATAAAAAGGTGCACATGGAGAAGTTTCTAGATTTTTTGCAATATATTCGGACAAAAAACGGTTTGAAAAAGCAAAAGCGTAGAAGCTTATAGATTCTGCACCTATATTCCGACCAAAACCGGTCCATATACATCTTTATACCAAATTTAATTTATCTTTATAATTAAAAAAACCATAATAGACATATATACGGACCGATAACAGTCCGTATATTGTTATACAGATCGGTTTTGGTTTCAATATATACCCACCTGCAGCTTTTTCATTATTTTCCTTATCTCATGCTCAATTCATTATACTCTCATTTCCAACCATAACATTCCGAATGTTTAGATGCCAAAGTGGTTAACCGTATCCAAAAAAATCAATTTTACTTGCTTGTGGCTCCAAAATAACATTACCTAACCTTATATCTAATAACCTTATACTTATACATTCATGATTTTGCAACGATACTATCCCATACCATCGTTAGATAATTTCAAGTAGGCAATCGATGGTTCTGGGGTTCCAAGAGACTGTAGTGTCGATGTACATGCAATAAGTTTTCGTAAGAACAGATTTGGGGCACGGGAAAATGGTGATGTCCTTAAATGAAAAGAATAAAAAGGTGCACAGGGAGAAGTTTCTGGAATTTTTGCAACATATTCAGACCAAAAATGGTTTGAAAAAGTGTGAGAGCATATAATATACGTAATTTAATTCATCTTTATAATTAACAAACTGTAATAGGCATGTATACGGACAGATACCGGTCCGAATATAACCAATTGCTGTTTCAAAGGTTTTGCCTCTAGAAAATTTCACTGAAAATTAAACTTTTTAGGATTGGCACTTAATTATTTATTTGTGAACCGTTTTCAGTCTGTATATTTTGCTGCCAAAATTTCGTTGTAAATTAAACTTTTTTGGTAAATTGTGGACCGATGTCAGTTTGAAAATGTTTGTTGCCTAAATTTTCAGCAAAATTGAAGCTCTCCGTTGAGCGGTTATTTGGCATTTATTTGGTATATTCGGACCAGTTTTGGTCCATATAAAACCTAAATATAACCAGCTCTCTCTCTTTCTTTTCCTCATTTTCTGATTTATCTTCTTCTTCTCTTTCTTTTTCTTCTTCATCTCCTCTGTTTCTGGGTATTCCTTCCTCTTCTTTCTCATTTCCTTTCTTTTTTCTCTATTCCTTTTACTCTTTCTCCTTTTTTCTTACTCTTCCCCTCTCTTTCCTCTTTTCTTTCTCTACACTTCTTAATATTCCTTTGATTTTTCTTACTCCTCTTACTCTTCCCCTCTCTTTCACGTTTTTTTTTCCTTTGATTTTTTTGTTTTTTACAAGCTTTTCTATTCCACTCTCCTTTTTTTTTTTTTATCCATAATATGTTTTATAAAGTTTTTCATTTTGGTATATTTTTATTATTTATTTTTGTTTACTAACTTCTATAAAGTGTTTCATTTTGATATATTTTTATTATTTAAATTTTGTTTACTAACTTCTTCTTCTTTTGTTTTTTTGTTTTTGTAGGTTTCATATTA